CCTTTTCTGTCTGAGAACCGTAGCCTCGGACCGTGAGGTGCCAGCTCTCATCGCACTAACAACAAACTGCCCCATTGCGAGCTGGATGTTGTTGCTTAATGAAGCCACAAAAACGAATGACATGACGCATAAACGGCTAATAACAGCACTGCTTCGAACAGCTATTACAGTTTCCTCTTACTTTGGCTAAAAATCATCTCTGAGAGGAGCCAAAAGTTCCTCTGTGCAGGAAAAACTCAGAACATGCGAATGAGCTCAGTTAGCGGATTAGCGATTGACATGAATGCTAAATCGGATGTAAACAACTCGGTTTCTTTTTGAGCTTCCAAAGCGTAAAATGTCACTGTCAGTGGATACTGTGCTATACTGTGTGTAAGAATAAAAACACTAAACAGAATAAGTTGTGCTTTTCCTCTGCACTAAACTCTCAGAGGATCCATGTTGTGTTGTGAGCGGCTATCTTTTAGCATTAGCTAACACGGTACTTGGCGCAAAATTGTAACATTTAGCGAATTCTTTAACGTTTAAACTATGAGTTTACAACAGCTGACGAGACGTTATAATGTGCTCACCTGTACAACTTTGGAAAATTCCTCATAAACTCGCTTTTTCAGATGTGCTGCCATGTTTATGAACACACAGTTAGCTAAGCGTTTCCATTCAGCAGCAGGATAAATTGTCCCTTTACAGTTTCCGTAACTTCCTGATATTGTCCATGTCCGCGACATCGATCTTTTAATTATTATTTTGGACATTAATATGTATATATACTTTCATTTTGTTTATTTTTATAGGTTTGTGTCAGATTTAATATACAAAAAATATTTTCTTTCTTTTTCACTAAACACATTTTCACCTCTTCAAACATAAGACAGCCTCTAAGTCAAGGGAGAAAACAGTATTATGTCTACACGTAACAGGCAACTTAGCAAAAGAAGCTATTTTAAGTTGATTCTTTAGGCACTTAGCTACAATTAGGCACATTTCAACATAATGTGCAGTGTGTCTCTAACATTTGGAGGAAATGTGACAGATGGAGGTCAAGAGAGGTACAGCAGAGGGTCAATACAAGAGGCTCTGTTGTGGTCTGGATCCTGTGATGTTGGGGAACTTGGAATCCAATACCATCTGGAAAGACTCAGCATCACTGTAGCAGTGTGAGATCATCTTGATAGAGACCAGAAGAAACAGCAGCTGACATCCAAAGAAGAGCTTTAAAGAAGTCTGGAGGATTATTCCTGAAGACCACTTATAGAAATTACAAGACAGCAGTGAAAGAGAGTTCAAGCTGTGCTGATGAACAAATATGGACTTTTCAGACTTGTTAGAATTGTACTCTTGTTGTTCCTATTTGTTTTGTATATATGCATATTTCAGTGAATCATTGCACGTATTTACTATTTTTCTGTTTAAGCAAATGTGAGTAATGATATTTGGATGATCTACTATTTGTTTTAGCTTTGTAATACTTTGTAGCTGTGTATGCAGTGAAGCTATGACCTTGCATCTTCGCACACATTTAGCGTTTTCAGACAATTACAACCCCAATGTCAACAAAGTTTGTAAATAAAACAATGTGCAATTATTTTCAGATCTCATAAACCAACATTTTATTCAACACACAACACCAAAACATTAAAAATGTTTAAAGGGAAATATTTTACTATAAAACATTAGCTCATTTTGAATTTGACGGCAGCGACAACTCTGAGAAAAGTTGGGACAACAGTAAAAGTAAGTGGTACTAAAAAGCATCAACTGGAGGACATTTCATAGCTAACTGTGTTAATTAACAACAGGTCAGAGGATGGACAGAGGTTCACCAAGCTCCAAAAAACTGTGTCTACAAATTGTGGAAACTTTTCAGAATAATGTTTACCAATGGGGGTCAAGATCTCTGCCTAAATAAATAAATAAATCAGGGTAAATTCCCAGATGATTAAACATGCAGCTATTTTGCTGGTAATACCTGAAATCAGTAAAGAAAACCAACAGCCTATTTATGCAAGATAATTCATAATTTTATCGGGGGGTTATATTGGTTGGGTCTGATTATGCCCCTGGTCCGGCGGCTTGCACATCTGGAAATGTCCCATCAATGCTGAAAGATTTATACAGGCTTTAAAACAACGTAACATAGCAACACATCGCATCCAGGCGACGTCTTTTCCACATTTCAGCAGTAAAAACCAAACAAACAAAGAACTAAAAAACAACAAGAACCTTTTTTTGCATTAAAATTTTCCACAAATTATTAATAAAATATGTCATTAATAATACAATACTGCAACATAACTGTAGTAGTATTCTCATACAGGATCCATGAGGATGTGATGATTGAAAAGGAGCCAGAGAAGTGAAAATAGGACAAAAATCCTGCAGTGATGGACGGTCAGTTGATCTCGTGGAGCATGAAGGATTCTGCTGATGCTTTGGCCCTCTCGCGGTCCGACTTCCACGTGAAGAATGCCACTATGGTCACCATGATCGGGAGGGCCACACAGAGCACGATGCGGCTGATGGGCAGCTTCACCTGACACATCGCCGTGACCGAAGGATTCAGGCTGTCGTCATCATTATTTTGGAACAAAAAGGCAGACCTGAAGTCCAGAAACACGGCTCTGCTGTTCTCTGTGGTGTTCACCAGACACCTCCACCTCCTGTTGTTGTC